TTTGGAGACGGAGTTTTGCTCTTGTTAACAGCCCAGGCTGGAGTGCAATGGTGCGATCTCGGCTCACCCCAACCTCCGCCTCCTGGGTTCAAGCGATTCTTCCGCCTCAGCCTCCCGAGTAGCTGGGATTACAGGCATGCGCCACCATGCCCAGCTAATTTTGTATTTTTACTACAGACAGGGTTTCTCCATGTTGGTCAGGCTGGTCTCAAACTCCCAACCTTAGGTGATCTGCCCACCATGGCCTCCCAAAACCTTTAGCTTTTAAATGGCCTTCAGAGGCTTGCTTTTCTTTGAACTTACTTGTAAAAATATTTGGCAACTATCTTCCAAAGATATCACATATTGGAAACTAAACATACACTTACAATCCTAAATGGAATTTTCTCCTTAACTATTTCCTTGCTCCAATTTCTCTATCTTATCGACTTCTCAAGCTAGAAATCTTAAGATAATCTTTTAGTTTTCCCTTGATTATACACTTCCTATAAAACATTTCCATCTGCCCTTTTTTCTCCATCCTTATTATCACTCTCACTTGATGTCTGCAGCACTGCTACAGCTGGTTTCTGATTTCGCTTACCTCTTTTTAACTGAGTTTTACCTACCACCACCTTACTAATCTTTCTGAAATGTAGCATAAATCATGTCTCTAGTACTGAAGAACTTATCATGGATTCTCATTCTTTAGCTATCAAATCTAACCTCTGCTGCCTGCTTTCCAAGCTTCCTTATAAACCACCCTAACCTCTGAAACACACATTAAGAGTCGCTGATAGATGTCCTCACTCCATATATTCCCTCACAGAAGCTATGCCTTTCTCATGGGCTCAGAAATGGTGGACACATTCAGAAGCAGGAAGAAAAGAGAATTCTTCTGTCTCTACTCAAACCACACCTACTTTTTAAACATTCTACATATAGCAGTACAATGTAAACTCCAAGAGGGCAATAATCCTGTCTGTTACATCATCAGTAACTTTTTACTTAAGACAGTGCCTGGCACATGGCAGGTACTTAATAAATATTCACTGAATAAATAAAATTCCTATCACAACAGAGGTCTTCTTCAAACTGGTGACCAGTTTTGGAGAAAGGCAGTATCTGTGTAGTTATTCTGCATTTACTGATAATTAACACCCTTACAAGGGAATGTAGAATTAAAAGTCTCAGGTATTATCTCTATTAGTCTTGAGTTAAGTACTTGACTAGCCAAAATTTAGGTGTTCTAAACAAATTCTCATTATTCTGGACCTCTGAGCAGTTTCTGGTGATCACTGTTCTATAGTATAACTAGGGATTGAGATACAGTTGGAGAGATCTAATGCCAGGGATGGGATACATGTAAACCATCTCTGTGTTGCAAAACAGCAGGCCAACTCACCACGGAGTACTACGACTCTCACTCACATTGTGACTGTTCTGAGAAGACGTAAATGCTATTATTCAATATAATGTGATTCTGTATAGTGCCCTAAATAGAAATAAGGCTCAAAATAGTGGCAGTATTATATGTGCTGCTAGAAAAAAATTTCTACTACTGAATTCATTTACAGTTTCCACTATAAATGAGCTAAGGTACCTTTCTAATACAGATATTGCAAATATTTTATCATTTCACATATCAAACAACAAAACAAAAAAGCAAAACAAGATGAAACAAAAATACAGTCCTTAAATTCAGGAAAACCATAAGTATGTTCATGCCAATATGTAAACTCTACAAATTTTGCTGTTTCTACAGATCTTTGATAAATGCAAGTCAAAAAGCAAAGACTCGAGTAAGAGTAGCTTCCATCAGCTGAAAACATATACCTCTCCAATGAAGACATCTAAATTCAAACAACAGTGATTTAAAAGCAAAAACAAAAACGAATAATGTGTACCTGCAGGAAATCCCATTACATTGAATATTCTGTCCAGCTGGTCATGGTGATAAGGATTACTAGTTTTGATGTCCTCTTGTCGACAGTGAAATATTGGTTCTGACGTTAGTAGTTCTGCAAATATACACCCTATAGCCCAAATATCTTTAAAACAAAAAGAAAAAAAAAAAAAAAGAAAAAAAGGCAAGGAAAAAAGAAAAAGAAAGGTGGAAAATAAAGTGGTTCTTTCCAAAAGAAAATGCAATTTTATTTTCTTGGGGAGTGTCTTCTTTCTTTCTTTCCCTAATAACTCATATTAATTCCTAAGCAATTATAATTACTAAATACCACGAAACATTATTGTAAGTATATATTCCCATGCCATCCACCCCAATTTTTCATTTTGTTTACCTCCACATCACCCAAATGGTTTCACTCTAAGCCCAATTAAATGTACTGGCTGGATTTTGGTAAGTTTTCAATGTCCCAGATGATACCTTTTCTGTGAACTACAGTAAAGCTGCATATGGAGCATGGAACTACAACCAAAGCAAACCAAACAAAAACAAACGGAAAACCCAAACAGTATTTGAAATTGGGCACTCGCCTAACACAATCGGCATAAATTCTTGTGATAAAATATTTTTTATTTACTTGCTAATTTGCAAAGTCTAATAATTACCCTCTCATGTTAGCACTAATGAGTAAGGTGGTATTCCACCAAGAGACAATGCCCAACCTCAAAAAGTCTAAGAACTAACAGCATTTCTATTTTAACAAAGTTTTTCTTTCAAAGTGGTTCTTGATGCCATAAGCAGTGTCAGATTTTGCAAATTTAATATTTAATACGTAGGACAGGAAACAAAAGCAAAATATTACTGTTAACGTGGATTATAAATTCGGCTGGGTGTGGTGGCTCATGCCTGTAATCCCAGCACTTTGGGAGGCTGAGGCGGATGGATCACGAGGTCAGCAAATCAAGACCAGCCTGGCCAACATGGTTAAACCCCATCTCTACTAAAAATACAAAAATTAGCCGGGCATGGTGGCATGTGGCTATAGTCCCAGCTATTCGGGAGCCTGAGGCAGAAGAACTGCTTGAACCGGGAGGCAGAGGCTGCAGTGAGCCGAGATCGCGCCACTGCACCCTAGCCTGGGCGACAAAGCAAGACTCTGTCTCAAAAAAAAGGCGGGGGGTTATAAATTCAAATGAATTATTGACAAAAGCCAGGCAAATGGGTTTCTCTGTACACAACAAAGTGAATTCCTTTCATTCACAAGATACAGATTTACTTTCATTCATATTAACTTTGTACTCAAAAGAACTATTAGTAGAGGTAAGATCTATTTGCCAATTTAGAATTTAAAGCTGAAAATATTTCATTTCTACTCTTAACAAATCCTACACTAAGTACAGTGGTGTGCATATAGCAGACCCTCAACATACAGTTTTTGACTGACCTAACCAATACCTGTGACAAATATAAATAACCAAAAGGGACAAATAAAAATTACTATTTTATCAAAGCTGATTGTTCAGATATGTTAATAACTGTCACTTAAACAGGAAATAAGGAAAAAAACCTAAAATGAGAATTCCTAAATTCCAAAACTGGAATAGAGATATTTAATTCAATATAAAATTACACACATTTACATTTCAAAGTAATAAGTTAATCATCTATTTACTTAAAGATTCACACTGACTGCAGCAAGTGATTTTAAAAAATGACATCATATTTACATATCAGACAACCAAGCCTAGCCAGTATCACCATATGGAAAAGTCTCATCAAGAAACATAGGCCAACCTATTTTGTTTTTGGCATCAAAAGGTATATGGGGAAATTAATTATTTTGTGATTATTCTTTTTATATGGGTACCCCCTATAGATCTAACCTTTGATAATCAACAGCCACATAGGCAGCTAAGTAGGATCACAAAAAGATGATGGATGGCTTTGCATGTTTAAAATTCTACTTACAGCACACCCAATAAACACGGTAACAATTCATCTGGTTATTAAAAATTCCAAAGAAGAAAATAAAATATGTAAAGGAAGATGAAAGGTAAGTAGTTTAGCCATAATTAAAGCTATACTGCTCTTAGCTGAGCATACTGGCATATGCCTGTAGTCCCAGCTACTCAGGAGGCTGAGGCGGGAGGATTGCTTGAGCCCAGGAGTTTGATTCCAGCCTGGACAACATAACAAGACCCCATTTCACAGGAAAAATGTATGCAAAGCTACATTGCTTTTTAAAGAAAAAGTCCGGTCATCAGGAAAAATAGTTTATTGAACCTTAACTCCCTCCCATCCAGTAACTCTTCTTTCTTTGTATCTGCTATTCTCTCTCACCTTTATCCATCTTGCCATTCTTCCTTTCTTCAAAATCCTGATCCATACATTAATCATGAACTTTGAGTCAGCTGATCCAAGGCTATTATTTCAGATAAATTTCTAATTCTTGTAAGTAAGTTTCTTTTTCCTACCTCGTCTTTTTTTTTTTCCCCCAGATTGTGCCCAATTCATGGGAAGTCTCTTTAGTGTTCACCTGACTGCCAAACTCCTTACAAAATGGCTTTCCCAATTAAAAACATACATTTCACCTACTTCTCAAAATGTATGATGCTCATAGGTAGTCACTGGGCTAAGCAGGCAAAAGAAACAGTAGGAACTGGCATGCTATACAGACCAAATTTGGGAGGAGAAAAAGAATTTGCTCAATAATATTTGAATCAACAAGCGTAGTAATAGTAAGCTTCTTGTTTTGATAAAAGGGAAGAGATTCTCATTTTCTCTATTTAAATGTATATTTCCCACTTAGCAGAATGCCTCACATTTAGTGACTATTCAGCTATTTGAGGACAAACACCTGAGCTTAAAAGGCCATACTTTATTTAGTAAGACTTTTTTTTTTTTTAATTTTTAAAATTTTTTTTATTTTTTGAGACAGAGTCTCACTCTGTCACCCAGGCTGGAGTGCAGTGGCTCACTGCAAGCTCCGCCTCCCAGGTTCACGCCATTCTCCTGCCTCAGCCTCCCGAGTAGCTGGGACTACAGGTGCCCGCCACCACGCCTGGCTAAGTTTTTTGTATTTTTGGTACAGACGAGGTTTCACCATGGTCTCGATCTCCTGACCTCGTGATCCACCCGCCTCCGCCTCCCGAAGTGCTGGGATTACAGGCGTGAGCCACCGTGCCCGGCAGTAAGACTTTTAAGACTACTTTAGTGGCACTGAATTAGAGATTGACATCCCTTTTTTAGCCTTCTCCCCAAAGTAAATCAGACCAAAAAAAACAAAAAACAAAACGCTCAAAAGTGAATTAAACTTTGTTCCTGGGATTACAATGTTTACTAACCTATTATTTCCTCTCTTTGATTTAGTGACTCAGCTTGCAGTTCTGCACAACAGAATAAACGACCACAGCACTACAATCTGTTTGTAGTAGAGGGGGAACATGTGAGTTTGATGTGTTCTGATCATATTTTTTTCCCTATGCTTTTGCTCCTTCTTAGTAGCTTCAGTAACAGATTTAACCCCTCCGCTAAATGGTATGTATTCACCAATTATTTATATGTTCAACTAGAAAGGCTCTTCTATCACCTGCTCACAATTCAACTATCAAACAGGGAAGCCAAAATGCTGGGGAAGTTCTTGGGAAGCAGCTTTAAGGGTGGTGTGAGAAATTTGTTGAGCATTTTACTCAATCTTTAGGCTACCTTTGCAGGAGACAGGAGGAATGGGATTGTGTGGTAGAGGCTGGTATTAAGGAAAAGGTTTCATTTTGTAATTCCTTATTCTTATTTTTATTTTATTTTTACTTTTTATGAGACGGAGTCTAGCTCTGTCGCCAGCCTGAAGTGCAGGAGTGTGATCTCCGCTCACTGCAACGTCCGCCTCCCGGGTTCAAGCAATTCTTCTGCCTCAGCCTCCTGAGCAGCTAGGATTACGGGCACCCGCCACCATGCCTGGCTAATTTTTGTATTTTTAGTAGAGATGGGGTTTCACCATGTTGGTGAGAGTGGTCTGAAACCCCTGACCTCAAGTGATCTGCCCGCCTCGGCCTCCCGAAGTGTTGGGATTACAGGTGTGAGCCACTGCACCCGACCTTATTTTGAAAAACTTAAATTAAAAATGGTTTGTGTATGTTACAAATTTTGAATCAATGTTTCAATAGAAGAAAGTGTCCAAGATTGATCTTGGGCAAGCAGGTGTACACCAGACGAGGGTGTGGGCTGGGATCACCAGTGCTGAGAAAATGGCACTGACATTGGTTTCAATCATTTGCACCCAAGTCAGTTCCCTCTGTAACTTCCTGGCCTCAGATGGCAGCTGTTTTTAATTAAAAGCTTAGAACTCTGGCTGGGTGTGGTGGCTCACACCTGTAATTCCAGCACTTTGGAAGGCTGAGGCAGGTGGATCACTTGAGGTCAGGAGTTCGAAACCAGCCTGGGCAACGTGGCAAAACCCTGTCTCTACTAAAAATACAAAAATTAGCTGGGCGTGGTGGCATAAGCCTATAATCCCAGCTACTCGGGAGGCTGAAGCAGAATCGCTTGAACCTGGGAGGCGGAGGCTGCAGTGAGCCAAGATTGCACCACTGCACTCCAGCCTGGGTGACAGAGCGAGACTCTGTCTCTAAATAAATCAATAAAAGCACAGAACTTTCGAGTGTAGGGAGATTTAATTGATGACTCAGGCTAAATTCTCATTTTCGGAAACTCAGGCTAAAGCACTAAATGCGTAAACACACCCCCAGAATGACAGAACGAAGACAACAACTTGGGCTGGTGGTCTTTGTTACTTCTATGGTTCAAAGATGACTAAATTATTGTATGCATATATTCATACTGTCTTCTCAACTGGACTGTACATCTCTTCAGGGTAAGGCCCATAATTTGAATTCACACTTGGTCCTCCTAAGTTTTAAAAAGTTTACATAGTAGTTACCCAATACATGCTTATGTTGGTGAGGAGGAGGGGGGAGGAAAATATGAAGAAAGGCCTTCTCTCTCCCAAATCACACAGCCACTGGGACAGGAGAATCCAGCTTCCTAAGGGCTGGTAGTTTAGATTTGCGGCACACACCCTGCATTAGAACTGCTAGACTGCAGAATATCCTAGTGAATAAAAGGTTATATAAATCTTAATGCTTCCAATAAGACAGAAGCTTCTCAGGAAAAATAAGAAGTTAATAAACAATGAGCCAGAGTCACGAGTTTCTGCGACAGCATCACTTTCTTATTTGTAGAGTTTGTTAATACGCTTTACCAAAAGTAACACTGCTTTTTAATATTCTTTTTCTAAGTGGAAAAAATCGCTGTGTATCATATTAGTTTATATATGTCCTTAAATGCATTTAGAGTACGCTTGCAAAAAAGATACCCAAATATGTACTTAGGTAATAACATGTATTCCAAAATAGGACTAGATAAATAATCCTTATTTTTCCTTTTAACTGACTTAAAAAACTAAATATTAATAATTTTATATTTATAGAAAAGTTACAAAGATAGTATAGAGAATTCCCATATCTAACGGACTTATTTTTCTGTAAAATAAAATGTGATCTTAAGGCATGTATGAAGATTAATGAACATAAAGATTTTTGGAAATGACATACTGGATTCAAGATTAATATGGGGGAAAGATCACAAACATTGCTCCTTTTCCCTTCCTGAATCTACATTTAATTGACAGCAAAGTAATAAAAGTGCAAATGCACAGTAACAAGAACAGAAGGAGACTGTCAGAGACAAGATTCATTCAAGTATCCAACAAAGAAAACTGAGTTCTCACCACATACTATATAGGCACTGGTTTGCAATGGTGAACAGTGAGGTGAGGTGTATTTGTTTTAGTGGAGTTTAGATACCCTTTGAGTCAATGAAGACAATAAGGTAAAAGAAAGTGTGAAGGAGGAAGTAGGGTGCTATTCTAGACTATGTGATCCAGGAAGTTCTCTCTGAAGAGGTACTATTTTCACTAAGGTCTGAATGTAAAGAAGAAACTGGCCAAGTGGAGACCTAGAAGATGGAAGGCAGACAAGACAGTTCAGAGAAGGTCTCAGGACACAGTGCTGTCGTTGAGTAGGAAGCAGACTTTTCCCCTACAATGCTGTGAAGATTTTGTTCTTGGGAATACCAGCTACAAAGTCTGTATTTGAACAGGAGGAGCTGATCCTCCTCCCTACTCTCTATGATCACCCCGGGGCTGCCAGGCACATACAGCATGGGCCAAAAGTTGGAGGACTCTTCCCTGAAGACTTCGGCCTCAGAGGAAAGACCTGCACCTTCTGGTATGTAGAGGTTACCCCAGGCAATGGCGGCTCTCTGCTGGATCACCCTAAAGTTCTCACTCTTTAAGTCCCATGATTGATACGAAGTTCTCAAGCAGTTTTAGTAACCTGATTTTTAAATACAAAGAGACACTCAAGGGTCACCAAACAGTTGAAGAACGCTTGCGACATGGAAGGGAGAGATCAAAACATGCAATGAAAAGAGTGACTATAAAGAAAACACAGATAATTATTCTGGGAATACTGCAAAGTACAAACAAATCAGCAATGTTGTCATTGTCTTCATAGATATTAGGCTTTTCTTTCTATGAAAAAATACAAGATACTATGAAAAAGTAATAATCAGAAAACAAGAGGTTTTTAGAAATGGATATGACAAAGGCAGAAAAACATGAGAAAAAAAGTAGTATAAAGGATTAATCCAAGAAATTCAACATCTGACGACACTGAGTTGAGGAAAGAGAGAAACAGAAAACACTGAGGAGGAAATCAAAGGACTACACAAGAGAATTTCCCACAGATTCAGGATATGAACTTCAGATTGAGTGTGCCCACCAAGTGGTCAGCCTATCACTGTGAAATACAAGGATGAGAAATTCTATTTGTTTCCAGAAACAAAAAAAAAAAAAACCCAGGTGATCTACCAATGACTAGGAACAAGACTGGCAGGGACTTCATTAGCAATGCTGATGTTAGAAGGCAATGGAGGGGTGTCATCCAAGTTCTGAGAGAAAATTCTTTTGTACCTAGAATTGTAAACCTGGGCAAGCTAGCAAGTATGATACCGGCATTTTTCAGAAATACAAGAACTAGAAATTTTACCTCTAAGATACAGTTCCAAAGGAATTTACATGAGAACATACTGTAGCAAAATAAGAAATGAAATCCAGAAAGCAACAGATCTAACCCAGAGGAATAAAAAAGGGAAAAGGCAGGATGAAATGGTAGAATATGCTTGGAGACCAACCAATCCAAACTAGAAAACTTCAGGATGCAGTTACCCAGTAAAGGAGAAGTGTGTTTGATATCATCCTGGAGGATACAGAGCAAGTTAAGGAAACCATACAGACACAAAATAAAGAAAAGAGGAAAGGTAAAGCACATTAAAAAACTACTTGATGATAATGCAACCAAAGAGAATGAAGCAGAATAAGGTGTGAGTAATGGACAAGCAGTGGTGAGAGGCCTGGCAGCTGAGCATTAAATTCACAACAATTCGTAACTTAAGTATAAACAACTGTGGGAACTATGGTTAGCAAACAAAAAAATGTAAACACTGACAAAGTGATGATGATGATATTGCTAATGCTGCTTACAGATTGAGAGGCTGGTAGGGGAAGAAGTGTAAGAGCACTACTTTCCTCATTGTTTATAATAGGGAGGTGATTGATATCATTAAAAACAGAAAAGTGGATTAAAATGTCCTAAAGTGCTAATTTTTTTTTTCATAATGTCTTTCCTTTAATTTTAGGGGGCACTTTTAGAAGTTACTATTTCTTTTGGTAAAAGAAACACTTGTCTGAAGTTAAAGGACTTCAAAATTGTACTGTTTTATGAATTAAATATAAAACTAAATAGAATGTATAAATGATCCCATTTAATTACAAAGATTTTTGATATCTTTCTATGCAGAGAGAGGTATGTGGAATGATATACCCCTATTGCTACTGATAGTATTTCTAGGTAGTAGACTTTTGAGTTAGGCTTTGCTCTTACTTTTATTATTTATTTATTTATATTTTTTGGGACAGGGTCTCCCCATCGCCTAGGCTAGAGTACAGTGGTGTGATCATGATTCATTGCAACCTTTGCCTACCAGGCTCAAGCAATCCTCCCACCGCAGCCTCCCGAGTAGCTGGAACTACAGGCACATGACACCACGCCCGGCTAATTTTTAAAGACAAGGTCTCGCTATTTTGCCCAGGCTGGTCTCAAACTACTAGACTCAAGCAATCCATCTGCCTCAGCCTCCCAAAGTGCTTGGATTACAGGCATGAGCCATCACATCCAGCCTGCTCTTATTTCTGTAATTTGCTATACTACTTAATTTAAAAATATATAGGAATGTGTGTCATTTAAAGAAACTTAAAAATTCATGGAATTTTAATTAGTTCTGCTCACCAATAGCTTTGGTATAATGCCTTGCTCCAAGAAGTAGTTCAGGGGCTCGGTACCAGAATGTAACCACCACTGGATCCAAATCTGCTAAAGGCTTCAAAGGTGAATTAAACAATCGGGCAAAGCCCATGTCGGCTGTAAAATAAAAAATAAAAAAAAAATCATGCTAAGTAAATGGTTTTTACAAATCTAACCAATTAGTCTAATTTACCATCTTATTCAGTAAGATGAAAAATGTGCTGAATTCTAGGCGAAGAAACCAACAAAACATCTTATCCATTTTAGAACTCTACAAAAAGCAAGTCTGAGAGCTCCTTTCTCTTCAAATTACTGTTACCCAGTTCTTCAGTGGGGTTATAGTCAAGCTCTGCTGCCTGAGGTCAAGGGTGACCTTGCTTCTCTGGGCAGATTTTTCTTTCCATGTGTCACCCCACCGTTAGGGACAGGGTTGTTGAGCTGCATTTCCATTCTTAGTACTGGTCACAAGCACCAGGAAATGGGATCAGTTACAGTAAGGCTTTCCATTATTTGCATCAACAAGCCTGTTCACTAGTGTAATTAATCAGAAGTTGACTATGCAGTATTTTAACACCATTATTTCCCCCATTACTTGGGTTGAATTTCACTAACTTAATTTTAAGGAATCACAGTATTTTTTTTTAAAAAAAAGCTAGGTAAGACTTTAAAAGTCATCTAATTAAATCACCTCCTTCTCCAGATGAATATGGTTCAAGAAGTTAGGTGATTTGACAAAGGTCACAAACTCATACCTCAGAGCTAGAACTGAGATTAGATACAGTTGGTCATGGCATTTAACACAGTTTAACATGTAGTGTAGTTATTCGGGCATGGCTGTTTATCCTGCTATACCATAATCTTTTAAAGGCAAAAATTGTGTCTCTTTCATATCTATCCCTAATAGTATCACATACAGTTGTCATTACACATAGCTTTTGCCTAATACATGTTGAATGATCATTATTCATACCACCTATTCAAAAATTTCAAAACTCACCCACCATTTGATAAGTTTAGTTCTGTTTTCCTAAAACACATTTTTTAATGAAGTAGGCCTTACTTTAATCAACTTAATTACGAAGGTAAAAAAAAAAAAAAACCCAAAAGTTGGCAAATAATTAAAACTATGAGTAAGATTACTAAATACTGATTTACAGAAGAACTAGTATTTCTTCTTAAATGTGAATGCTTTAAGATGTAGTGTTCTCCAAACCTGCCATCATATACATTACATAGAAGTATAATTCCAAACTAGATTTAGTGTATTACATAAATTTTCCCTAAATTATACAGTAAACACTTTTGTAATTACTGTTCGGCTGGTTCTTTTCTATTTTGCATGCTTTGAACTTACATTTGAATTTGATGCCACCAAAATGGACTGGAGAGACTCCTTTAAAAGCACATGTAAAGACTTAACAGGCATTTTTGAGGGCACTAGGGTGAGGGTCTGCTTCTCAAGGAAAGCCAAACTTGGAGTTCGTTAAGGCCATCAAATCTATTCATAACTAAACATTTGCAAAGTTGTATCAAAAACAGAGTATTTTAAGAGTCTAATTAGAAGTGGAAAGTGGGATCTGGGGGGATTTATAAGGAAGAATATTAGAAGGGTTAAGAACACACATGTGTTTCTTTGTTGGTGAAGTGATACAAATCAGCTGTTACTTCCAATTTACATTAAATCTTGTGATCAGAAGTTACTATTAACTTTGTTACAATCCTGATGTCTTTAAATTAATACAATTTAAACATTTCTTCTACACATACACAAAACAAACTAAATATATGTTGACAAACACAACTTGGAAATGACAATGAAAAAAATAATCAGATTAAATAAATTTAGTTTTATCCTTACAGATGATCAGACCAGAAGTGGGTAAAATTTTGCTTTGATATTTAAGAAAATAGAGCTATCAGAAAATATGTAGAGAATGCCCATTAATTTTTTTTTTCCCATCAGGCAAAGGCCTACTACAAGACAGTCTCGTTAGAACTTAAGGTTCTGTACCTATCCAGCCTCATGGTTTTCCCTAGAGTTTGTGTTAATAACTCCTAATCTAGAAGAGGTCAACAGAGGCATAAGTGCTCATCTAATCTGACTCAAGCAAACATGACTGATAGGATTATTAGCATGCTGTATGTATGCCCGTGTGACTAAAGGTGAGGCTGGCCTCTAACAGAGATAGAAGCCCCTCACCTCTAGAGGCTATTTTTAATGAAAGCAGAGGTTTCTGGGAAACTTACACGGTTTCATAATTAGAATGTTTCAGTCTTTAGGAGTGTCTGACACCTTTCAAGAGTGTGAAACATTTTTCACTTTTATGCATACTCTTTAGAAATGGCTTCGATCATACGGAACTATATGAATATATGCATATTACAGCAAAAATCAGAAGTGATATAGCTGCCTGCAAAAGTTTTAAAAGAGTGCTACACTGTGACTTAGCAAAGATATAACATACCAATTTTTACTCTTCCTCGCTCAGGACCTTCACCCATAACTAAAATATTAGCAGGTTTCTGTGGAAACAAAATAGTGTTTTTTTTCAGTAGACAGTAGTGGTTTCTTTTAAATAGACAATATGCCAATATAACACAAATCCACCTTTTAAAAAATCTCATTTATTCGAAAATTAAAACCAAATACAGGAAGTCACCAAAGAAACTGTGCATGTATATATGCAAAGTGGTATGCAAATTTCATGAAGGCCCAGATATAGCGTGCTTTTCTCCACAGAAGGCTGAGGCTTTTCTTGGCCTTATTATCAGTCTGTTTTCACTACTGGCAAGCATCTCACAAAGTCATGTTGTGGTTCCTTCTCACTCTTTCAAGTACATAAAATGTCTTGCTCTGACTTTAAAGGAAAAATGAATCGAGAAAGATGATTTAATACCAAGTAGCAAATTAATTACAGGCAAGGAATTACCAGAAATCCTTTTTTGGAAATGACGAAGTATGCACCTACATTTAAATAAATGAATTATTGAGGAATTTAACAAAGTACTTTAGAAACAAGTTAGTAAAGTAATAGGAATTTTTCACGACAGGAACAGTTTTGAGGTTTTCATTTTTAAGTGAAAAAGTAAGCTAAAATTTAAAGTAGGAGTTTACAAAGCTTTCAGTTTTTAAATCTTTAAAATATATACTGATTGCCATCTACAGTCTTTTATGATGGTATCTACTACACTAATGAATAAAGGCTGCCCTTTCTTCAGGAAAGGGAAGGAGGAGCAGGAGTGAGGCGGGATGAGGGGAGAGAAAGCAGAAAGAGGAAGAAAAAGGCAACGGGTTTACTCCTTACTCGCTCTGCTATTCTGCGACCTACTTGATTTGACTTGAATTTTACCAGTCTGCTAAATAAAAGTGAAACTAGATTAGAACACCTCTTCAAATACTGACATAAATCACTTTAAAATCAAAGATCGTAATGAAGTCTGTTTATAGTGGTAACCATTTCACAGGCTTCGCTGACCATATAGAGTGATGGCCCCTAAGCTATTACTGCCAACGTTTAATGTATAGTATACTAGCCTATCACCTACCAAAGATAATTATTCCCAGCCAAAAAAAAAAAAAAAAGTATTGCTGAAATGGCAGCATTGACATCTCAGAGGTTAAAAACTCCTACGATTTTTAAAGTTGAGTCCACTAGGCACCAGAGAGATTAAATGACTTGCCCTAAGCATAATCAGCAAGACTGGGTAGCAGCAGAGTCTGCCCTGTCTTTGAATAGTCTGGGGCTCCCTTCCTAATTTATCATCCTGAAAGTACTTTTATGTAGCAATTTTTGGAATTAATATGTACTGCTGTAATAATAATACTGATGTTTTATTCACAAAAAATCTCAGAACCTATCTATCACTACTCCCCCGCCCCCTGCCCCCCAAACACACACACACTTCTAACCACAACACTAACAGTAGTCCCTGGGAGCTACACACAGGTGCTACCCAGGACAAATAAAATTGTTTTCATGCACCACAGTAATCAATCAACACTGGTTAAGTCTCTGTGGTCTCTTAGGACCCAGCCAATTGCAGAGAGAAACCAGATTTCTGAGATAGTGCAAACTGTTGAAGGCAGAGAAAGGCTTTCCAAATGGAATCAGGCAGCATTTCTACTTGGCTAAGGGGAAAAGGCTTGCTCCCAATTCACAATGTGGACTCAGGAAGAAACTTCCATGTTTATGCTAGAACTCTCCTCTCATGGTTCTTCAGAGCAGGACTCCCTAAACACCTGCTGAATACACTCCCTACTCTTTAATCCCATTTTGAATCTCTTCCCTCAAATTCATCTTCACTTCTGCTGCCAGAGTCATTTTTATAAAAGACAAGTCTGATTATGTCACTCTCTTGCTTAGAACCTTCCACCTTCCACATGGAAAATTATTACAAGAAGACTAGGTAAAAACAGCAGAACACAAAATGATATATAGATTGTGATTAGAACTAGGTTAAAAAAAAAAAAAGTTCCTGTGAATAAGGACTAGAAGAATAAAAGTGTAGAGTGATAGAGGTATGAATGAACCTTTTCAAAAATGTCTTTGCTTTCACTATGTTTTACGATTATGATTAAAATATTATTTTGGTTGGGTGCAGTGGCTCACGCCTATAATGCCAGCACTTTGGGAGGATGAGGTGGCAGGGCTGCTAGAGTCCAGGAGCTCAAGGGCAGCCTGGGCAACACAGTATGACCCCACCTCAACAAAAAAATTTTTTAAAAAAATTAGCCAGGCGTGGTGACACATGCCTGTAGTTCCTGCTGAGGTGGGAGGATTGCTTGAGCCTGGGAGGTGGAGGCTGCAGTGAGCCGTGATCATGCCACTGCACTCCAGCCTGGGCAACAGAGTGAGACTCTATCTCAAAAAAACAAAAACAAAAACAAGCCAGGCACGGGGGCTCACGCCTGTAATGTCAGCACTTCAAGAAGCCAAGGTGGGCGCGTCACCTGAGGTCAGGGGTTCGAGATCAGCCTGGACAACATGACGAAACCCCAAGTCTACTAAAAAATACAAAAATTAGCTGGGCATAGTGGTGTGTGCCTGTAATCCCAGCTACTCCGGAGGCTGAGGCAGGAGAATCACGAAACCTGGGAGGCGGAGGTTGCAGTGAGCTGAGACCAGGACATTGCACTCCAGCCTGTGTGACAGAGTGAGACTCCGTCTATAAAAAAAGAACACCTACTTCTACTTTAACTTTGATTGGTCCTCCCCCACCCCTACATGAGGTCCAGTCCTTATGACGGGATGCTTCCCATCATCGGCAGCCCTGCCTTCCCTGCTTCCCACTGCTCCTGCTGCCTGTTTTCATGTTTTTGCCATTATTTGAATAGACTGCAACCTTTCACAACTATGTCATTGCTATGCCATTTTTTGTCCCTGAGCTTTCTTCTGCTCTAAAATTGGATTTTTCCCCTCTCCCTTAATGACAGAAGTAATACACAGACATTTTCTCAATTAAACAATTCAAACTATAAAGCTGCACACAGTTAAAAAAGTCCCTTTTACCACCCATGCCTCCTTTACCCTACCCCAAATCCCACTACCTTCTCCAGAGGTACAAGCTGATTAGATTGCCGTGACTGACTTTTCTAACACTGGAGTATTCAATCCTAAAAGATTCTCTCCATATCTGGCAAAAGCGCAGTGAATACGTGCACATGTCTCTCCTCTGTCCATCGGAGATGGAGTGGAAAAGATCTCACACCATCTTTTTTTCTCCTTCCCTCTTTTTAAACACATTTTCTTACTCATTCAGCAGCTGGGACACACTTCTGAAAAGCCCTGGGATGGATGGTATTGGCTTGGCACTTGACGATGGGGAAAATCCCTCTCTTGCTTTTCATTTCAGGTTTCTTTTATTCTAGACTTACTGGACTGGTCGAGTTCTAAATCTTAAGTTTGACCACTGGTGAGAGGATAAATAGTATCTTTGTCAAGGTCCAACCTAGTATTAGAGTTTGGGGTCCAAGCTCCAGTTAATAATTAAAAAACTACTTTGCTAGGTAACTCACTGCCTACTGCGCCATCTGAAGCAGATTCCACCTTACCAGCATCTCACTTTTATCCCAACACTCTCTCTTAAGTGAATTCTGATTCCGTTTGGGCATGGTATAGTCATAAACAAAAGCCAATGGTCTTATGTTGTTGTAATGGCACTATTTAGAAATGATGGGTCCCCCCTCATGTTACTTTCCATTAGCACTGCATATGCCCCAGGGAATGATAGTATGATTTAGTAGACAAATCTAACTCTAAGTTTCTTCTCTTCTGAATGTAATCTAATGGGAATCTCAAGAGAAAAACACAGGAAAGGCCCTGTCACGGGTTCTGTTTTGTTGTTTAATCAGTATTAAGACTTCGAAAGACTTGATGAATACTTTTTGTTTTAGTACTTAGTGCCATCTTGAAACAATATTCTACTCACCCAAAAAACTAATTTCTTGGTTCCTTTTCTTCCTTGTCTATCAGTAGCAGAATTTGATAGCAAGTTTTTAAGCTCTAGCACCAAAACTTTACATGAAGTGATTAGAGGTAACTCTGGTAAATAATCTCTGATCTTTTATATGCTATCAAACATAATCACCTTAAAAGAACATATAGAACTTTTCTGGTGACATTCTGATGAGGCATATACTCCATTAAACTGTATTTGTTGCCATGGAGATCAGAAATCCTACATGATTTAAATTATAATATCATGGCAACATCTTCAAGTACAGCAAAGCCATGCACAAAAATAATGATAGATCATCCTTGATTGCCAGCTGAAAAATGATATAAATCAATGAGATACTACTGTTTGAAGCAATGGGTTCCCTTATCTAATTGTTGTTTTATTTATCCCAGGCTTTTCTTCTTGTTTTTGCTGCTGCACTCCCAAAAAACTCATTGATATTTCCTAAAGCAGATGTTTGTATTGCAGGGACAACCATTCTGGCAGAAGCTTTCTGTTCTCCAGCATCTGTCATGCTGGAGGAGAGTGCACCAGTGATTTTGGCATACACCAAGGATAGCAAATAGCTTTCGTTTTAGGAGCCAACTCTGATGGAAAAATAAAGAATTCAAAAAGCTCTATCTTGAATAAGGACAAGGACTGGGTTGAGAAAGAAAATGCCAGCATTTATCAGAGTTATCTGACATAGGAAGTGGAGAATGGTGGCACATCTGCCAAGTTAACAGCAATAACTTTATTCTAGGGGTGAAATGAAGTCTTCAGATATTTACTAATGTATGAAGGCAAATTGGAGATTTTGAGTCAACAGGAAAAGCTGATTCTTGATGGATCTCTCCATTAAAAGACGACGACGATCCATAAGAAACTGTATTGTCAGTGCTTTTCTCTGTCATCTGTCCAGAATTAAACTTCCACAAATGTGTAAATAACACAGCCTGGTGGTAAACTTTCTAATTACTCTATGATTATTTCGTACAATACACACTGAAGGGAGTGACTGACACATATCTTACATTTCAAAAGTCCCATGAGATTCAAAAGCAGGCAGCAAAGTCTTAAATAGA